GGGAGAGCAGGAGCCCCTCTGCCAGCAGCGCATTGCGGCAACGGGGCACCAGCGTCCCCCCGCGCATGGCCACCTGTAGGCACTGCCCTTCTGCAAAACCCCTCCAAACCCAGCAAAACTGGGTCTCCCCTAAGAGAGTTTGGAGGAGTTTTGTCCTCCAAATTCGGCTGCCTGGGATGATGCCAGCTCTCACACCAGAGCTGCCCTCCCCCAGCTCTCCCTTCTTGGGAAACCTTGCAGGCCTTTCTGGGGACACAACAGTTGCCAAAGCCTCAGGCGCCGAAGGCTGGGGGGACAGAAAGTGTCGGTAACGCCATTTTCCCAGTGCATCCTCACCCCCTCCGCTTTATCCGGGAGCACCTCTGAGGACAGCTGCTTCTTCCGGCAGAAGAGCAGAGCTGGAGGGTGCTGCCCTGCGGCAGTGAAGCCCTGGGACCAAAACTTTATGCTCAGATCCTCAGCCTGACCTTGCAGACCCCCTGTGTCCACACAGCCCGAGCCGTCCTGCACAGACCTACCCCTGCCCCACCTTTCCTTCTGGGAAGAAGGGGCTGCCTTCATTCCCCGCTGCCAGCCTGTCCAGGCAAGCTGAGGAGCGGAAAAGGGCTCAGGGTTTAACCGATGGCTTGGAGTCAACCAGTGTGGGCTCTGCTCCCCGCCAGGCCAAACTTGTAAAAACCTGGGGAAACTTAATTGACATCTCTGGATTTCAGTTTCCCTGTCTGCCCCACAAGCACCTTGGCAGCTTGTTAGTTGGCAAAACATGGGAGAGGAGGAGATGTAAAGCTTTCCAGAGACGCTGAGCATTGCGGTTCCCCAGCTGAGCAAAGCTGCTGCCGTCGATGTACAAGAGTTGCTTAATTAAACGAGTGGCAGGTAGCAGAGACCTCAGCTTTTAACGTTTAACTGCACAAACTGAGGGTCCCAGTTCTCTAGACTGGCAGCTCCAGTATCTTTCAATAAATTAATACTTCCTATAGACTCATCTATTTTCTTACTGAGTTTGTATACACCCACATATATACATTCATGGAAAAGAAACCCATCCAAGGCTATTAAACACAGAGATGCCAGCTCTGACAAAGGAAGCCCTTGATTGCCGGACATACAGTAAGCAAGTATAATGCTCTGGGGATAAATAGTGTATATAGTGTACAGGACATACCCAGTATATATGCTCTGTTTGTACAATCTCCTCTGGGCATCTGCTGTTGGTACAGTCCACGGGAAGGTACTGGGCGAAGTGGACCTGTGGTCGGACCTAGCACAGCCATTCTTATGTCTTTTCTTGGCAGGTGGATTCCTCCAAAGCATATAAAGCACTTGAAGACATATAGTCCTGCTCATCCTGGAGCAACACAGCTCAACATAACACTGGAGAGGCTGTCCTACAACTGGAGACCAAAACTTTCTATCTAAGTTTTGTTTTAAACCCTCAATTACAAAGCTGTAAACATTTCTTTCACTGTGCTTTTCATGCCACTGCTTTTTTAGCCTCCAGGTTTTTCTAAGCTAAGTAGGTTTGGTTCCCACTTTCCCTAGAGCTGCCAATGAACATATTCAGCGGGTACAGAGCCCTGCGCTGGCAGAGCACGCTTGGAGCTGTCCTGTTACGTGCAGCCCCAAAATGCAACAAATGTGGCTGTCTTACAATCCATTTTATTTTGAGCTATTAGGATATTGAAGGTAAAAGCTGCCAATATTTCAGCACGTTCAGATGGAAATTGAAGTTCAGCTAAGAAATCTGTCAGCCTCGGGCATCCCAGGAACCGCCTCCACGGCTCCAGTGGAGGAAGACAAACTCCCACTCTGTTGAAAATGTCATTTGAAGAAGGTAACGTGGAGCTCCTAGGCAGAGGCTTGGCCACAGGGAGACAGCGTAGGACACTTGGTTCTAGAGGCCTGAACTGAGCCAAAACATCATCTCTACCTCTCCACAAGGCTTTATCGGCATCCTGGCCACTTGGTGGAGAGAAGAGAATGCCTTTTCACGCGCGGGTGCACCTGAGCTTTGCAAAACCCAGTTTTTCTATCACTAAAAAAGCAAAGCAAAGAAAATGCATGTTTTCAACAGAAAAAAGAAGAGCTTTTGGTTGTGAAGATAAGCTTCACACACAAATTCTCCACAGCAAGATTTCAAGATTTTTCACTTACTGCACAAGTTAAGTGTTTCAGAAATTCCTCTCTTTGATCCTTGTAAATCCTGGGATTGTTAGAGCTGAAAAAAGATCCACCATCCTGATCTGTTTTATTTTTATATGCCCGAGCTCATAGAAGTACAGAAGAAAAAAAAAATTGTGTCTTTAACCTATTCATCCAACCCGCTCTATGTGACGGCTCATAGACATTGCTCAACTCTTCCAGGGGGAGCGATCTGCACCTTGCTGCTAGTAAAGGACAGCTGTGACCTGTCCTATGCAGGTACACAGGAAGCATCACGTGCTCTCATTTTTGTGTACTTTAATCATTATCAAGAAAACTCCTTCTCGAGGAGAGATGGGGTCTTAAGTATAGAGGTTACCGATTCACAGACTAGATATAGCTACCATCCGAGATGAGGATCCTAAGACAGAACCAAATTGTGAAAGATCAAATCTGGCAGAGAGCGGAGGGCAGCTGGCCACGTCGCCAGCCCGCAGCCTTGGTCTTGAGACCACGAGCAACAGCTGGCCTTGGGCTGTTGCCACTACCCTAGGGGAAAAAAAAAAACATGTTTAAATTATAGCTAGGAGGTTAGACAGGGCTTTTCTATGCACAGCTTTAGATGGAAGGATGGGTACTGATTTAGATTGGACGATGACAGAAGGAAAGATACCTTCTAAAAAGAGAACTAAAATACACCATTTACTTAACCTTAAATTACACCACAGATCATGATTTCCTTTAGTGTGTCACTACTGCCTCCTGTGGCAAACTAGACTATATAGTGCAGATTTTAGGGTGCTCAGGCCGAGAAAGCCAGGCCCAGAAAACCCAGGGGATGATGACAGACAGCCCTAGGAGGCCAGCAGGCCTGGCTGTGCCCGCTGCACTCCCATGGAGGTCGATGCCTTTGCCCTCACCATGCAGCAGAGCGTGCTCACATCATGCTCACCCTGCAACAACTACGCAGGCTCGCATCTCCTTCAGAGTTGCTTTTCTGGTCCTTAAAGCCTGTTTTTAATTCTTGCCAACTTCTCTGCTCTACAAACCGCCCCCCATTCTCACTCCCATCACCGCTCTCCGCTCTTTCACACATTGCATCTGATGAAGCAGCTCCTGCATCTGAACAGCCTCCCTGCCTCCCCCTCACTTTACAGTTCATCTGCGAACGCGGCTATCGCGTGTCTCCTCCCTCGGGTACTTTCTCTAAGGTCTTTTTTCACTTTGTAAAGAGTCCTGTGGCAGAGACTGTAATAAATGAGCATAGTATTGCAAGAGGTCGGTGTACTGAATTGGACTAAGAGCAAACACAACATCACATGTTTCAAGTAACTGCATTAACTCTGCAGACCCCTACATGCTCCCTTGGACACGCTTGCAGGTCAGCTGCGAGTTGGCTTGTCCGATCCCATTTTATTGCTGCCTATCAGTTGGGAAGCACAGAGACTCTGGTGCTGTCTGTTGACTTGTCCCCGCAGCCAGTGTGATACTACTGTTGTCCCTTATCTATTGTGGCACCCAGATAGCGCTGTGTGTCACAGATATAACACGTCCCATTAGGTTGGGAGGCAAAAAAGCACCATATAAATCCTCTTCAAACGCTCATCCCTACTCCATCGACTCCACCTGCCACCGCCCTGCCACAACCCATCTCCCCTGTACTTACACATCAGCTCTAGCAGGGAAAGCGGCCGCCACTGTTCGAATATATGGAAACGCAGGCTTCAGAGGACCCCGGCAGTTATTGGATCCTCAGCTCCTCCTGTACTGAATGGAAGCGAGCTCCTTTGAACCTCGAAATTGGTCAAAAAGGCCCTCTAGCCCACGAAAGCCCACTGACCACAAGGGAACTCAGACCATTTGCAAATTCCCATCAGTCCTGCGTAGCAGGCCCCAAGGATACTTATCCTTTGCCTGCAGGCACCTCTCACTGAGCGAACCACCCTGCAACCCACTTGGAGGGCAGAGGAAGAGATTTTCCATTCAGGCAGCAGCAAATTTTTCCTCTTGTTTCCTCTCCGAAGAGCAGAGGAGACCAAGGATGCTCCAGCCGTTCTTGGCTGGCTGTCCTCACAAGCAGTGGAAGGGAAACAGCTTTCACATCAGCTGAGAAAGAGTCTTCAGCTCCCCTCAACTTCAACATACCTCCCTTGTGCCACTCCACACCTCCTTCCCAAGGGGCAGGCAGCAGGTAGACGAACTGGGAGGGGGGCACCAGCAGGTCCTGTTGCCTCCCCTCAGAGAGCACAGAAAGAAGCAGCAGCCACACTCCTCCTGCTTGCTGCTTCTCCCAAGCAGTTTGGAGGAGCAGGCATTGGGTAGGGTTTCCTTCCTCTCACGGCTTCAATTAGCCAGAGATATGGCTTCAAAATTGCCCCAGTGAATGAGGACAAGCAGCAACCACAGGAGCTCCTCCAGACTGCACCTTCAAATAGCTCCTCTCATCAAGCGTTTCCTGCTAGAGCTGATGTCCTGATTTTTCCTGATTTTTATTCTAACCAGCCTTACCTAGCATCATCATGTTTTCTAACACTGCTGGAGAGACATTACCAGCTGCCTGCTAATGCCTGAGCTGATCAGCAGCAACGCTCAGAAGCTGGAGTTTCTGTCTGACCATCTGGAAGCTGGTCTCAGAGGCAAGACCCTGGCAAGAGAGCTCCATTTTCGGCTCCGCCTGCAAGCAGCCCAGGTGAGAGAAACAAGGCCCACCTGCCACCAAGGCACGTGGATACGGTAAAGCCGAGGGCTCGGCCTCTAGATGTCTCCTCCAGCCCATGCTCAGCCCCAGAGGGGCGAGTGGGCAGACACACAGCTCTCCCCAAAGAATACCCAAGGTGCCATATACCTTTTACACCACTCACTTTTAATTACATTGCATAAGGAAAGGCCTCTCCTTGTGCCAGGACCCCCTGGCACAGTCACCCCGATAGCAGGCTGGCCGATCAAGTCCTCAGTAGATTTAGTGGTTCCCCCTCACCCGTTCCCCCTGCTCGTAAGCTCTTCCTAGTCAGTCTGCATCCTTGCGGTCCTCAGTGTCCTCATTTGGCAAAGACCTGTTTCCATACATCTCCTCTTTCCTCCCCTCCTTGGTGTTTGTGCTCTGCTCAGTCCCTGTGGGAGTCCCATTCTGGCCTCCCGTAACACCATGCGGAGAGGAGGCAGGGCAAGAGTCATTGGTTAATATTTGTTCTAACCCCAATATAAATAGGAAAATACAACAAAATAAAGAATTGACTAGCTAAGAGATCCAATCAGCCGGGACATCTGCAACATGCTAGTGCAGAGTTCAGAGAGCGCTTGGTCCAGTGCATGGTACTGTAGAAATCCAGAGACTTGTCCAGGCAGCTCTGCGGTCATCAAATCTTCTTATGGCACCACACGCCTGCGTGAGCACATCCTGGCCTCCTCCTGCCTTGGGGGGCCAGCTCACCCAAGGCTGCTGGTCCCTGGGAGCAGGCCAAATGGGAATGGTTGGTAACAGTCCAATTTGTTCCTGTTAAATGGTAAAGCCCTTCTCTTCTATGGAATGAGCATGTGCTTCACTCTTATTTTTTGTGGAGGAATTTCATTTTGCTACCTGAAGAGATGGAGAAAGGAAAATGGACTTATCACAGTGACAGGCTAGACAAGTATCACTCTCCCTGCTGCCATTGGCTCAGCAAGCCTATACAGAGAATCGTCCCTGCTGCCGGCACAGGGTCCTTATCCAGAGCCACCCGCCCTACCAGGCAGGAAGTAGATGCTTGCAGGTCATTGCTCTGCTCCCCCCCCCCCCCCCTTTTTTAGAGCCCGTTTGCCCACCACTTGTGGAAGGTGAACATTTTACTCAGCTCACTTGGCCAGAACATGCGTGGATAAGAGGCATGGCACGCCAGCCCCACACACACTGCTGCTCTTTCAGAGTGGCCAAGACAAGAGAGACAGGGATGTGATCTGAACATAAAACCCAGCTTTCTTAGCTAGGGCGTCCAGGCTAGCCCCTCATCAAGGGCTTCTAACCTCTGTCTGCAGCTCTCTTCCTGACTTTGTTACAGTGGGAACTGAATTCAGCCTCTCAACACTCTTGGGCAATTCCCACCACTGATTTCTCCAGGTAGAGTTGAAGCCTGGGGAGAGTTTGTCACTCCCCCAACCAGGAACAGCATCCACCACCCCTGAGTCACTGGTCACTCCATTGCCTCCTCAGACCCTCTTTTCTCCTTTGGAAGTCCCAGAAATGGCTCACGGCCCAAACTCTGTTCTCCCACCAGCCTCCAGACAAGGGGCAGATCAGCAGGCTGATCCACCAGTGAGCCAGAGCACAGATACACTAATTAGTGCTTCCCCCTCACCCATTCCCCCACTGCCAGAGGCCAGGCACTAATCACTTACTCAAGGCTCAGAGCACGGCTCTGCAAAAAGCCACACTCAGTCACTGGGAGAGTCCTGATACACCACAGTGAACAACCCCTGGTGTCGAATCTCTGGGCCTGGTATCAAGGGAAGAAGAGCCCAAACCTCAAGGAAAGCCAGTGGCTTTGCTGGCCCCTTACCTAGTCCTTTCAGGAACCTATTGACTCCACTCTGCTCCCCACTGGGAAGTGTTTCCAGGTACTCCTGAGCCCGTACCTCAAACAGACCTGCAGGAAGAGAGGAGCCAACAACTTCTGTTTTGCTTCCTTATAAAAGTAAGACCCACATCTGAAAGTATGCTGTTCCGGCTTACCAATGAACTGTTGCACAGGATAGTGAACAACTCATCCAACCTCCTTCACCAGCCAAGCCCAGATCTGGAGCCTGGTCCATGTCCGTGGGGCTCCCAGCTATGCTGCCACCTCCTCCCCCAGCACTGCAAGGCTGACTGGTCTTTTGTGCTTCACATAAGAAGAGATAAAACCTCTGCTCATTCTGCTATGAACGTGGCTAAATCCGGAAAGTGAGGTCATCTGGGCAGTCATCATGCGGAAGCCACATTTCACCACTCTGCAAAAACTTTTACCCAGCCACCTATTCAAAAGTCCACTGCTCATTAGCACTTTGTAGGAAACTGCTAAACCAGCACTGAGCAGCAAGCAGGGATGAGAAAGTGGCTGTCAGCAGAGCCCTAGGGACCATGGGATAACAGAAGTGAAACAACACTGAAGCAGCTCTAGGAACATTCATATTTTCTGCTAGACCAAAGAGCAACATAACCAATCCGGCCCATTCTTCCTCTAGACACGCTTCTCCAGTGCCAGCACCCAGGAGGAGGGACTGCAATAATAAGCACAGTTTGGGCAACGTGCCCTCCTCTGACAGTCATGTCATTCAAAAAGGAACGGAAGAGGCATACATGGAGGATATGGCTTATGTCCCTTATTACAGTGGTGAAGGTGAAGGGTGGCTGTAACCCCAGTGAGGCACTCCAGATGCTCCCCCTTTGGGAAGATAAGGAAACATTGACAAAAAATCCCTGAGTGACTTCTTGAAGACCACACAAGGATATCAGAACAGACCATCTACCCACACTAAAGCTTTCCTATTGCCTCCCTCCTAGCATCCCTGCACACTACAGCTTCCCGCCACTTTGCTGAGGATGGAGCTGGCTGCTAGCGTGAGTCTCCCAACTCTCGCTGGAGCAAGAGCAACATTTTCACAACTGCAGATGACCCTAGCAGAGCCCCTCACCTCTGACCCCCTGCTTCCGCAGCTCCCGCTCTTGAATGAAGCCCCCAAACATCTGTGTCTCCATAAAGACTTCCAGGAAGCGTCGGAGGCTCTTGGAGGAGACAGACTTCCGGAAGGCCTCGCGCTGCAAAGTCCGCTCCTCTCGCTCGTTGGGCGTCAGGAAGAGGGAGTAGTGGCCCACGATTTCCACAAAGAAACGGACAAAGGCCTCAGACACCACCTCGTTCAAAGGGCTGGATTCTAGGGAGAAAAGAAAGAGGCAGTGGTGAGGGCAGTGCTGCAAGGATGTGCTAGGAGGAGCAGTGTTCTTTACTCCAAGAGCTATCCGTGGTGTCTTACCCACCCCAGGTACACACTCACTGGCCTTTCTCAGATCCAGCCTGAGTGGAAAAAATTCATTGACAGAGACGCTATCCTAGAAAGTGCTTGCCATACACAAAAACAGTGGACTACTATTACTTTGAAAGTCACCTAGCTCTGTCTCGGTTCTTCTGCAACCAGGTTATGCCCATAGACCCCCACAAAGAGCTGTCTCGGCCCAGTCACTTGCAACCTGCACTGTTGCTTCAGAGACTAATTCTGCACATGGACCGTCCACTGGAGGAGTCTGCAACATTCACATGGTCATCAGCAGAGAGAGGCCTGTGTAATCCCCACCTGAAAGGATTACAGATGTTCCTTAAGGAAATGAAGGACAGAATCAGGAAGGGGATGAGGACTGTGCGATGGAATATTTAATAAAGCTTCAAGCAAAATCCTGGATTATCTCCAATTTTTGCTGTGTTAAGTTCAGTCCAAACCTAGTTTTCCTCTAGGGAGTGACAGGAGAAGAAGGAGCAGGAAGAGATATGGTTTTAAGCTGAAAGACGCTGTCCTTTACCCTGCTTGCCATTCACAGAGCCTTCCTCCTTGTCGCTCGCCAGCTCGTTCCTCTGCTCCAAGATGTGCTCTAAGGCACTCTGCAGCTTACGAGGCAGAATGGAGTCCTCATCTTCCATCTGCAAAACAGAGCCACATCCTCAGGGCCCAGGGCCGCCACATGGCGGGTGCGTGCCCTTCTCTGCCAGATCCTACCCAGTCCCTGACATAGCAGGGGAACACTAAAAATGAACTGCAAGGAGAGAAGGAGAGGCAGAACTCATAATATACTTAGCACCTTCTCCATACCTCCCAGCCAGGACTATCAAGAAAGCATGGGGGGAGCAGAAAAGGGGGTGTCTTGTCCCAAATGCTCTCCTATCTTGGAAGGATTTCAGGTGTCTGACCTGAGAGACGACCTGTCAAGGCTCACCCTTGGCTCCACTATCTGTCTGAGAGCACCAATAACACCACAAACAAGACTTAGCTGGACAACGCTGGCATGCAGCCAGGTAAGCACAACTGCTTACTTAGCATTACTCAGACAATGATCATGTTACAAAGACTTAACAAGTTTCCGCAGAACAACGAGGGACTGTGCATGAACTTTTACCAACCCTGGCGGAGATAATGTGATTTAGCTTAAACCTCCAAGAGAGAGGTATAAGGTTAAGCATTTCACCCCACATCTGCCACTAAAAGGATGCAAACACAGTTCACACAGCCAAAGCAGCTGACAAACACAAGCTCTGTCAGAGGAGTGGCCTTCATCCACATGCTACTCCCTGTGGCAGGAGATACTCCTGTCCCATTTTACCCATAAGACCTGAGGCTCCAGGACAGACCCACACAGCCAGCACTGCACAGGAATCTGTGGGAGAGCTCTGGGCCTCAACTGGCTTCTGGGGTGAGGACCACATTCTCTCATCTATCCTCTCCCCTTAAATATCCTGCTCCTCCTCTCCAGGACACAGGGAAGGAAAAACCTACAGGCAGTCTTGTCTGCAAAGCAACAGCTATATTCCCAATTACTGGCTTCCATACAGTGTAAGGACTAGAACGAGGAAACACAAACTCCTAGGGCAGGAAGGGATTTGAAGGAATCATCAAGGCTATTTTCTCTGCTCAAGGCAGGGTAAGTGATAGGAGAGGGACTGGCAGACACAGTCCCAACTCCCTGGGAGCTGCAGCTGCTGCCCAGAAGATGGCGCTGGGCCGAGGCTCTTCCGTTCTGCCCACAGTGTTATCGCATGTCACTCAAAGATCTGCAGCACCCAAGTTCCCCTCTTTTAAAAAAGATAACGCACCGTGATTCAGTCCTTAACATCCATTCAGTCCTTGCTTTAGGACTCTGATACTACATGAGTACGCAGTAACCACTATAACACCGCCAACCACAAATCCCGCCTCAGTCTGCATAGGGAGTAAGCGATCCAGTCAGCCAGGTAGGTCAGCAAACAGAGACTGAGGCAAGATCTATTGGAGAAAGGTGACAGAAGATGCAGGATATGAAACAGCTCTGCTCACCTGTCTCAGAAACCGGTTATTTACGAGGTCAACCACAAGGACCTAACAGAGAGCGAGAAGAAAAGCAGGAAATTATTATTTCCATCATTAGAGTTTATCTTACTCTGAAACTGCTCTGGAGGAAACACTTCAGCCCTGCCCCTGCTCCTCCTAACCACCACAGCAGCTGGAGGAGGCATCCAGCGCTGGCCAAGAGCGGGACCCTTGTTGTGGCTTTCTAACGACTTGACCACAAACCACAGAACAGCTTAGACAAAAAGAGGCTGTTCTTCAAGCCCAGCCCACCGCTCCTCACTGCCCTGGCTCAGCGCTGTGCTAAGGCTGCTCACGCCGCGCTTGCATCAGAGCTCCTGTCTTTCCTGCCTGCGCGCTGCCCTGCGTTGCTCTGGGTGGGCAGGGATGGAAATGTTCTGGCTCATTGACCAGGGCTGGCTATGTTCACCCTTGTGCACCATGAACCAGTCCAGTTCCTAATTATTTATGCATTTTATTAGGCATCTATGTTAATTAGACAGAAGGGCAGCTATCCTGGACAATTTTTAGCAAGTACGATTCACACCTGGCAGCCTTTGTTCTTAGCCCCTAGACAATAGTACCCAGAAATCACCAGAAACTTTTAAAAATAATGCCCTACCAGTACAACCCCACTGTGGGAGACCCCGGCCTCCCCCATTCCCAAGCTCCACACGAGGCAGAGCGCAGCCCTCCGCCTCACAGCGTGCCCCGGGGGAAGTTCGCCTCCTCCCTCGCCCTGCGCTCGCAGCAGCCAAAGGACGAGAACTCGATCCTTTCACACCGCTAGCTGCCAAACAGCGGCCTGCAGTTTTCTGTGGTGACAGCACCACCCTGCATTAAAACGACAGAGGCAAACATGGCTCTCGATAGCAGCCTTGCTAGGACACGAGGCAACTCAGCCTTGGAAGAGCAATAATTTTTTTTAAGAGCAAGGCTGTCAGAGTGCGTGGCTCACCTCCTCTACTGGGAGCTCCTTCAGGCGAGGCAGAGAGCTGGAGAGCAGGCCGATGAGGAAGGGGGTGGGCGAGCACACAATATCGATCATGGAAGGCGGCAGCACAGGGATGTAGGTGTGCTGCCAAGTGAAGGGGTACAGGAGGGCCACCGTGGCGTGGCAACACTTCGAGAGAGTGCTGGAAGATAAAACACAAGCATGTGCAATAGCAGGTCAGTTAGCAGGTGAGTGGCACTTACTAGAAATCAGGACTCTTTCAATTGCTCCCTGAGCGATCTCTGCAGCTACTAGGCCCTTCCCCAAATTTCTGCCTCCATTCTCCAACTCCAAGATGAAAGACCTGTGACAGGAGCCCAGGTTAGGAAAGATGATCCCATACAACGCACATGTGACAAAGGACACATCTCACTGAATCTAGTGTCTGCTCTTCCAATGCCATGATGGAAAATACTGCATAGACATTGTCTTCCATGCAACTGCCTTTCATTAGAGAAAAGACAGTTTATTCTCCCATGGCATTCCTCTGTGGCTGTTCCCACGGGAAAGCCAAGGCTTTGAATGCGCAGCAGCTATCCTGTTCAGAACAGTCAGCCTATAGCCACGGGCCCAGGACGAGACAGCTCCAAAACTACAGCAGCCAGGAACAGCTATCCGTCAGTCTGTACTCTGCCCACTTGCCACGCTCCTGACCTGTGAGCACAGCTGGATGGCCTGCTCAGACCTCCCCAGCCCTATGCTAACCCCCAGGTGCAACCTGCAGATGGCACGTCCCCAGGTGCCCCTGGCTGGTCATTGCAGTTGCGCCATCCCTGTCCCTCAGTGTGCTGTCTTCACATGCTTTGCCTTGGGGCCACCCTTAGCAGGCTGAGGAATCACATAGCAATGGCATGCTTTTCTACAGGACCCTATCATACTGACGGCTCCTGACGGCTCCTTACCACCAGGCCAGAGCACAAGAGGAAGGATGAAGGCAGCAATCTCAGACCCAAGGCTAGTGGGGCCTCCTGCCACCTGTGAAGCCTGCCAGTGTTACTCAGAGCCACAGGAAACAAGTGAAAGTCGAGGAGGGGGGCACATGCTGGCCTGTGCGTGATACTGCTCACGGGATCAGATCTGTCAGTCTTCCCCGTTCAAATGCTGCTAGCGGCTCCGCTGTAAGTCCCTTTGCCAGCAACTTCCAAGAGGGTCTGGCCAGAAAACCCATCAGATCTCTAGAGTGAGGTAGACAGCGTCTGCAGTCAGCCACGGAGATGTGCAAAGCTCGCTGCAGGGCATCAGTTACTCATCTGTTCTAAGTCTCTTATGTGTCAAGGGAGGAGGGAGGCCCGCCTTAAACAACTGTGGATAAAACGTCATTTTGTTTTACTGGTGCCCAGGTCTTGAAAGACTGGAGGAGGGGAGAGAGGCTAGTGTGGCCTAGAGGAATCACGTGGCTGAGGAAGTGTGCACAGCTGGCTTGTGTTAAACTCCACGGGGGAATTTACACTGAGTAACCCAGATCTGGCAGTTTATTGCTGACTTGAAATGAGAGGGAAGGGGTTTGAGGGTGTGGACTTGAGCTCGCTCTGAAAAGTAATGCCTGATTTTCCCTCCTCCCCCTGCTCCAGTTAAGTCTGGCAAATTTGAGGCCCTGTACTGTAATGCTAACACAAACTGAGCAAAGTGTCATGGCTTGGCTACAGCTGGCTGCTTTCATCAGATAAATTCAGTTTAGCAGAACATGATTATGGTTGCTGGGACATCACTGTGACCATATCAAGAAATTAGGCAGTAAACATCAGAAAACACATGACGCTTCTTAGAGATAAGCAAATCTCAGGGTCTGGGGAGAGACTAGAATCTGCTTAACGTGAGAATTTTGTCTAGGATTGTAATAGGTATGGAACAGGCACGTGGAGGCAACTGCCTGGGAAGCTTCCCAAGAAAGGGTCACTTTTCTCTCTCTTTGCTTATTGAGGCTTGCATTCTCTTAAGGAGAGAATGTATATTAGAATTATTTCTGTATATTAGAAAAATATTCTGTATATTAGAAACATATTCTGTATAAATTATTTCTGTATATTAGAAAAAATAAAAGGGCAGACCCTTCAAAGACCGCATCACACACTAGTATCCTTAAACCTTTAAATGGGAAAATACAGTTGCATATCCTTGTTTAGGAAGGTCTTAGGCATTCCT